GAGTAATTAATGAAAGAGAATTAAACACCCCCTAGTAATTTATTTATCATTTTTTAGTACAATATTTTACATGGTAAGATACATGAGTAACCTTATTTCACATTATTCATTGGACATGGTACACGTTCTTATATTTATTATTTATCAAAAATTAAAAATAATTAAAGATGTAAACCAACTTGATTTTTCATGAAAATTAGGCACTTTACCATGCTTAAAAAAATAATAGTGAAGATTGAAAATTAACTAAGAAGATAAATAAATTTATCCAAGGAAGAATTAAATAGTAGATAAAGAAAATAATTATAGAGATTTAAGTAATTAAGCAACAATTTGAAGAGAAATTTAGTAATGTAAGTACTTATAATGAATAATAAAATAATCAATAACATTAAATGGATTAAAGATTCATTCTCATGTGAAAGTTTGATTCTTGCAAAAAGAATTCAAAACAAAACAATATAAATATAAATATTTTAGCATATTATCACAAAAACATAAGTGATATGTGGTTAAGGTGTTGTCGGAGTAAAATGAGAGGGGTTCAAATTCCCTTTGTGTTTTTTTTTCTCCCTTTTTTCCCCTTCTTTTCCTTCTTCTTTTTCCTTTTTTTTTTCCTTTGCATCGATATTTTCGATATTTTAGCGATATTGCACTGATATTTTGACAAAATATTGCTGAAGTGTGAGCGAAATTATCGACATCGATATTTTCCGATATTATCGTCGATATTGTCTGATATTATCGTCGATATTGTCTGATATTATCGTCGATATTGTCTGATATTATCGTTGATATTGTCGATATTTATACGATATGTTCCGAAATATCTGTGATTCGAAATATCCGAAATATCCTCGATATTTCGTCGATATTATCGATATTTCGTACTATGGGTACTAGTATCTATTATGTCAGACAGAGATCCTCGGTTTACGTCACATTTTTGGACAAAGTTACATGAAGCTTTTGGGACTCAATTCCGGTTCAGTACTGCATTTCATCCCCAGACTAATGGGGAATCAGAAAGAACGATTCAAACCTTGAAGGATATGTTAAGAGTTTGTGCGCTACAGTCTCGGGGAGATTGGGATGATAAACTGCCTCTTATGGAGTTTGCATATAATAATAGTAATCAATCAAGCATCGGGATGTTGCCCTACGATGCCTTGTATGGAAGGTAGTGTAGAACTCCAATTTATTGGGATGAAGTGGGTGAGCAAAGATTGGAAGTATCTGAAGACCAGCAACAAAGGAGAATGTTAAACTGATTAGAGAAAGTATATAGACTTGCTTTGCCTTAGAAACTTTCTCGGTTACACGACGTATCACGTCTCCATGCTCCGAAAGTATATTTCAGACCCTTCTCATGTTCTAGAGTCACAACCAATAGAATTGAAGGATGATTTGAGTTATGTGGAGCAACCTGTTTAGATTTTTGATTGGAAGATTCAAGTATTACGTTCTAGAGAAATTCCACTTGTGAAAGTCCCCGTGGAGGAGTCACACTGTGGAAGAGGCCACTTGGGAACCCGAGGAGCAAATGTGGGCCCAATACCCTTCCCTCTGCGAGTGACAAGTATGAAAATTCAAGGAAGAAATTTTTATAAGGGGGGTAGATTGTACTAACCCGATCCTAAATTACTATTTAATTATTAATTTATTCAATTAAAAGACGAATTTACCCATAAACCCTTACCCCGGGAATATTTTAATGGTTTAAAGTTGACTTTTTTTTTTTGGAATGAATCTAGGGATTTCAGTTGTATCATTGTGTAAAGCACGTTGATATGAGTCTATAGACACGTAGTGGGCTCAAATCGGAGTTGTAACGAACAAGTTACGATCAAAAGAAGTCCGATGGCACAATCGTAATTTTTTCGAAGCTCAGTTTTAAAACCAGCAAATTCTTCTTCTCTCTCGCGACCTCCATCACCAGCCAACTTCAGACGTCAATTTCTCCTCCTTCCAGCCACCAATTTCGATGCCACAACTTGCAAACTCTTCATCTTTCTCTCTTCTTCGCATCCATACCAATTTCCACCCCTCAAATCCATGGAATTAAACCCAAAATTCGAGCCAAAATGGGCTGCTTTAAAAAAGCAGCTTCCGACGAGTTTTCCGGCCAACTCTGGCCATCCCAAGCTGTGCAATCACACACAAAACATCCCCTACAATCCCTTTGTAATTTGCCTTAAAGACCCAACTCAATTTCAAGTAGAAATTGACAAATCCAAACCCAAAAATTTCTAGGTTTTTCAAGAAACAAAATTTTTCGTTTGAGGGCTTTAAAGGTGGAATTGATGTTGGAGACAAGGTATAAAGTTACTCCCCTTGATGTGCTTGATCTATAGCTATGAATATTGGCCGGCGGATTGGAGTTTTCCGATCACCGGAAAATTGTTCTACACATCCGCCGGCCAATATTCATAGCTTTAAGTGTCCAATTTTTTTGATCAATTGATTTCGGATCAGGCCCAAAACTTGGGCAACATCATAATATGGTGGGAGGACTCATGTGATAAGTTTTTATTGAAATACAACTACTAAAACTATGCAATGTTCCAACCACGGTATGAACTTGAAGTGTCCAATTTCTTTGACCAATTGATTTCGGATCGAGCCCAAAACGTATGTAACATCATAATACGGTAGGAGGACTCATGTGTTAAGTTTTTATTGAAATCCAACCACTAAAACTATGCAATGTTCCAGCCAAGGAACGAACTTCGCACGAACTTCATACAACCTAGAAGTGTCCAATTTTGTTGACCAATTGATTCCGGATTGGGCCCAAAACTTGAGCAAAATCATATTACGGTAGGAGGACTCATGTGGTAAGTTTTTATTGAAATCCTACTACTAAAACAATGCAATGTTCCAGCCATGGTATGAACTTCGCACAAACTCCGTACAAACTTGAAGTGTCTAATTTTGTTGACCAATTGACATCTGATCGGGCCCAAAACTTGGGCAACATCATAATATCGTGGGAGGACTCATCTGGTAAGTTTTTATTGAAATCCAACCACTAAAACTATGCAATGTTCCAGCCACGGTACGAACTTCGTACAAACTTGAAGTATCCAATTTTGTTGACCAATTGATTTTGGACCGGGCCCAAAACTTGGGCAACATCATAATATGGTGGGAGGACTCATGTGGTAAGTTTTTATTGAAATCCAACCAATAAAACTATGCAATGTTCCAGCTGTTAGAAATGTGCCCTAAGAGCCAATACATTTGATGTAATCTCCTTAGAATACATTTCGTATATGATATATAAAGGGCAAACTTATTTGTTATCTTTTACATCGTCTAAAGAAACAAATGTCCAGGGTATGCTAAATAAGAGATAAAGTAATCTACAGAAGATTAGATTCTGAGACCTTTAATCTCTAACTGTAGTATCCCAAAATGTTCCTAATCATAGGTTATCAAATGGGCATTGATAAACCATCAAGATTAGCGCATATTATGTATGCTCAATTGGGAGGATGGTTAGTCTCAAACCATTTGTGTAGTTGACACTGATACAAGTATGTGGGTGCTCATTAGTGAATGAGTACACTGAACGCGATCAACCATAGTTCTCGTATGGAGTATTTATCTATATGTCAAACGAGAACTCATAGTTGCAATAATGCAAATTAGTCCTTAGACCTAAGGCATCATGGTTGTCCTGTGATGCGTTATTGATCTTTGATAGCTCTTAAAGGCAAGCCGTAAAAGATTTGTCTTAAGTGTTGTTGGGATCTCTTAATTCATCATAGGGGCATGTGAATGTACAATAAGGAATCTCTACTTTCGATAAAGAAGGAGAATGTTTCAAGATGTGATTCAGTAAATCTTTGGCCAAAGTATTTTGAGCTTGATTTAGAAAGTTGTTCTTAATCATGTTCTTTTGAATCACATGAGGTTATAAATCATATTAGGGGTTTGACATAAACAATCCGTACCCTAATAATATGATTTGAAACATTATATAAGAGAAGGACCGTATTGCATGGCAATTCCAACTGAATAGGTTCTTCATCTATTCTGATTAGCTTGGGTAGCCTTGACATATTGCTAGATGTCACTCTTGGCTTGTGGAAGTCCTAGGATTGATTGTGATCGATCCAAATAAAGGAAAAATTAAAAAGGGGTTTTAATTCCAGTTGGTTAGAAAAAGTTCTAATATTTTCCCACTGCCTTGCTAATTAGAACCTAATGGATCGCACACCTTAAATGGTTAACTTTGA